TGTCTTTCTTTCTTTTTTTTTTTTTTTTAAAGAATTATTTTATTTAACTTCATTTATTTTGATTTGAGCAAGAGGGGTGGGGTGAGAGCGAGAGGGAAAGTGAGAAAGCGAGCTGCCAGATCTGGGACTTTAACCGAGGTCAGCCATGTGGGAGTCCAGTGCCTTTAACCACCATGTCACCTACCAGCCTCTGAACATGGTTCTTGATTGACCGAGACCCAAATAATAGTAGTTGTTACCTGAACTTGTTGGACATACTTGGGCAGGATTTCAGCGATGTACTCTCCAAAAGCTGAGAGCTGCTTGTGGACCAGGTCATTTTTTGGCCTGACAGTAGCTGGAAGGAAAAGACATATTTAAAAAAGGAATGGAAAATGTCAATACATAGTCCTGCATTCAATCTCTTGGTCTTGTAAGGGGTGAGTTCTCTCCCAGCAGTGTTCCCTGCAGAACCATAAGAAAAGTGCAGGTGGAGGGTACCTCTTCAAGACAATAGGAAATAAGGAAAACAGGGAAAATGCCATGTCAACCAGTAAGAAGTCCATAGACTTATTACTGCACCTGGGGTGTGTGCCACTTCTCAAAATTATTCCATGGTTCCTCCTTCACACTGTCTGCATTTCTTTCTTTTCTTTTTCTTTTTTGGAGAGGGTTTTTTTTTTTTTTGCTATAGGGCGTGTGCACTCGCCAGAAAGACAGAGAGACAGAAAGCAAGAAATCACTCCCCAGGGGGGATGGCCACGCCGCAATCCCTTCTCCTCTATTCTCCTCTTGGGATCTTGGGCATGCACACACATGCACCCAGTGTGAGTTTAAGCCACCGGGTCCAGGACTCGAACTATGGTCGACTACATGGGAGTCCAGCGACAAAGCAGTTATGCCAACTGTTTGTTTTAAAGAGAGATTTTTACTATAGGCGGGCTGGTAGGTGGTGTGTGGTTAAGGACAAAGGACTCCCACATGGCCGACTGAGGTTTGAGTCCCAGGCCTGGTGGCTTGCTTTCTCACTTTCTCTCTCTTTCGCTCCTTCTCTCACTGTGTCCCTCTCTGGTCAAATTAAATGAATAAATAAGTAACTTAGTTAGAGAAAATAATTCTTATTTAAAAAGAAAATTTTTGTTATAGGGTATGCACTCATTGGAGAGACAGGAAGTGAGAAATCAACCCCCAGGGGGTATGGCCACATTGCAACCCCTTCTCCTCCACTCTCCTCAGGGTTTTGGGCACGCATGCACACATGCCCGCATTAGTTTAAAGCTGCCGGGTCCAACCGAACAGCGGTCAACTACATGGGAGTCTAGCAACATAACCACTGTGCCATCTGCTGCTCCCATACACTGCCTGCATTTCTATTACAGCAGGATCATCTCAGCTCCCCTACCAAACAAGAAGCTCTTTATGGATGGGAATCGGAACTTCTGCTTCTCTGTATCTCCTCGGCACTTAGGTTATGCCAGGTTCTCAAGATAAGAACCACAGGGCCCTCATAGATTATGTGTTTGAAACCTGCTTTGGTTGGTATTGATGAGAAAACTGAGGCCCAGAAAAGGGGAATTGTCAGGGCTTTTGACTCCTACTCTGCCGATGCTGACAGTAACCTAATGAATCCATACACTCATTCATGCAGCCCTAAGCCACTGAGCATTCACTACCACAGGCTGCAAGGCAATGGTGAAGTGTTTTCTTTGGAGCAGACAGAAACTCTTTACC